TGAGCTATAGGCGCCGAGCCCATAATTTTTTTTAAAACATAGAAATCAAATAAACATTCAAAAAGTGAGAATCCACAACTTTAGGAGTATGGTAAGAAAATAACTGGGATGAGTTCTTCCGAGGAGGTACACGGAAGGCTGTTTAAATATTCAGGAAACAAGCAGCCTAGTGCCCAAAGTTTTTAGCTCCTATCCGGATGGCTGTCTAGGATTGTCTCTTGCATTTACTTCTCAGGGAGTCTGTGGGGATTTTCCCTCCCAATCTTGTTTCCCAAGTTCCTTATATCTCCTGCCCTGCACAGTACCCAGATAGCACTTCTCCTTCTATCCTAAGTTTCTTCTCTACCGTTTCTCCCACTGTGCTTATTGCCTCCCAGATCATCTCATTTAGGCCTACTTTTTCTTTCCAGCCGTTTCAATACAACCCCAGAGTCCCTCACTTTTTTTGTTCAGGTACCCTCTCTGCTGCTCCAGCGATACCCCCACGGAGGAGCCTCGCGTTTGCCAGTTCCTGCCTGTCCTCAGCTTTCTGCCATGATCCGTCTCCCGCCTTTTTAAGGCCCCCAGATTTCTGCTACCTCCCGCTCAATACTGGGGCTCAGGCCAAACTCCCCAGGGCCAGTTTCCGCCTCTAAGGTACCAGCCCACTCCTCACCCCTCTCCAAGCCTGCTCCCACCACTCCCCACACCCTCCTCCTCCCCCCCCCTCGCGCCACCCATATCTCCCCTCACTTCACGCCCCAGCCCTCAGGCCCCGCCCACGGCCTCTGATGCCCCGCCCCCCGCGTTGCTCAAGCCCCGCCCCTCACTCACCTGAGGCGTCTCCGCGCGCGCGCAGGCTGTGAGTGGTGGGGGAAAGGGGATGGTGTTGGGGAGAGGGAGGCGGGTTGGCGGGGGTCCCCCACTCTGGCCCGGCTGGCCCAGTGCGGGGGGAGTGGGGTCACAGAGGCGGTGGCAGCCGGGCCGCAGACAGGACCCGGGCGCTCATGGTCTGCGGTGGCTCCATCTCCATCAGCGGCTTCACCTGAGGAGGGACCTGCCCCCCCTCCAAATTCCCCCCCATCACAGCCGTTCCCCCCTCCCCCTAACAACTTCCGGTCCCACTACCAGGCGACAGGCGGCGTGGCCGAACGCCGAGCACCCCTGAGCCAGAGAGACTGCTGGAAAAGAGGAAGCTAGGGGAAATTAGCCGAGCGCCGAAAGATTCAAGTCCGAAAGACGATGTTGCCTACAGAAGTTATCTCCAAAAAGACTCTGCATCTGCATTTAATTTGCAAACTAGGTGCACATTGGACGCCCCACTTGTCCTGGCTTGTGTGCTTCTAGTGCAAACTTGTGTCCCTGTACCTCCTGAGACAATATTGATTTTAGCCTCTTAGCATTCTTTGCCTTTCTAGCAAGTAGCTAGGAGTTGCTGAGGAGATGGATTTGAATGTACCAAATTCTTAAAATCTCTTTGGGGGTATCCTGAGGGCAGTCACCTAGGAATTGCTGCATATACTGACAGCCCTCAGAGAAGGGAGCCCCATTTTTTACTTCTCAGAGTCTGCTTGCTTTTTCCCCTTCTTTTGGACTAGCCTCACTACTCATCCCAGTACCAATGCAGCCTCCCTCCTGCAACACGTTCACTCCCCAGTCATAATCTTAAACACTTTATTGATATATTAATACTTAGGAAAGTAGAACTATAAAGGGAGAAGGTTGCATTTCTCTCTCCTCACCACTCCCTGGCAACCAGAGAAGCAGTAGAAAGTAGCATATAACTTTTTTTTACACATGCCATACACATTCTCTGAAGAATCCTAGAAGAAAAGCAAAACAAGGCCTTGATGGTGAATAGTGGTGGTGGGGTGGGCAGAAAAAGTCCTTGTCTCCAGAATAACTTTTTTCACTTCTAGCCACTTGCTCCAACATCTCTCACAGGAAGGGTATGTAACATAGTATCCATGGAGGGAGGGTATCTGGGTGGAAATGTGCAAAGTATGTGTAACTTGTAGACCTGAGAGTGGCTCAGGAAGGCACAGTACAGGGTTACAATACTACGGGCAATGTGGCCATGGGGTAGGGAAAGGGCTGAGGTGTTTCTGGGATGTAGACAGCTCTATTCCATACTCTCACGAGGCAATGTGGACATGGACACGATGCCAGGCATTGCTGAGCACACCACGCAGGTTCCAGATTGGGGCCACGGTGTCTGGCTGGACATTGTAACTGTCATCCACAGCCTTACAAACAATGTTCAATTCCTTTTGCCCAGCTGGCACAGGGGCTTGCATCTGCCACAGACGCCAGGCCCATGCCTTCCTAGGACGCTGTTCCTCTCCGTTCAGCTCAGCTGCCTGCCAGGTTAGACCCCCATCCAGAGACACGTCCACCCGTATCACAGCTCTGCCACCACCACTCCATGCATAGCCCTTGATGGTCACCTCCCCTGACTCTATAGTCTCCCCATCCTGGGGCTCTGTGATAGCTGACTGGACAGGAAGTTCCTGAATAGATGGCGCTGAGTCAAAATCTACAGTGTCCCAGTCCACAGATGGAGAGAAGCCTTTGTAATCCCGCTGCTGCCAGTGGCTAAAACTTTCCTCTGGTTCCACACTCACTCTGCCCAGCCATTTGACATGGCGGGCACCCACCACACCAGGAACCACCACCCGCACAGGGAAGCCATGGTCACGAGGCAGAGGCTGTCCATTCATCTCATATGCCAGTAGGACTTCAGCTTCAGGGTCCATTGCACGAGCCAGAGGGATAGATGCTCCATACGTAGTCCCAGTGGGGTCTGAGTCCAATCCCTCAAAGCAGACATGGGCCTCAGTTTCACAGAGATGGTGACCAGCCTGGGCTAACACATCACAGAGTCGTGCTCCACCCCAGCGTGCAGTGCTAATGGCCCCAGTCCTCCACTCCAGACCTTTTACTTTTTTTACTTGAGTCATCTCAGAGCGCCGGTTGCCAGCACACTGCAGAGTGACTGTGATTTCATGCTTGGGAAACTTGTACAAGTCCTCCAGGGAAAGAGACAATGACTGACCCCCAGGTCCTCCTACTACATGCAAGCGATACGTATCTGGGTCTAGGTTAGGTACAGGTAGATGGTTCCGGGTAAAGAAGATAGGATTCGGTGTGATATAGTTCTCTGTCAGCAGCTCAGGGGGAGGCTCTGCATTAAATGGGTGCTGGCTATTGACCTTCAAGGCTGGGTGACGCACAGGATCATCAGCATAAGGGTCAGAGGCATCCCAGGTGGAGATTACCTTGTTTTCAGGGTTCAGCTCCCCAATCTTGTACTGAGCCAGTAATTCACGCACATGAGACTGGTTGTGAATAGCATAGAGGGCCCAGAAGGGCTCCAGGGGACCCCCAGCTGCTAGCATGAGCTTTGATGGGCCACCTGGGTGTAAGCCCACAAATTCTGTGACATCAAAGACCTCAGAGCCCAGAGTTACCCATATCCCAGTCTCAGGAGTGGTATGGGAACTCACTTCCTCCTTAGTGTACGTGGGTGTTGATTTCTGAGCAGCCTGCAAGCAGAGGTGGAGTGAAGCAAAATGAAAGAGAATATTAAATAATTGGCAGGGCATGGTAGCTCATACCTATAATCCTAGCACTTTGAGAAGTGAAGGTACAGGATCGATTGAGGCCAGGAGTTGGAGACCAAGAGCCTGGGAAACATAGCAAGACCTTGTCCCTATAAAACATACAGAAGTTAGCTGGATATGATAGTGAGCACCTGTAGTCTTAGCTATTCAAGAGGCTGAGGCATGCAGATTGCTTGAGCCCAGTAGTTTGAGGTTGTAATGAGCCATGATTATGCCACTGCACTTCAGCCTGAGTGACAGAGAAAGACCCTATCTCC